TCAGACCTCGAGGTTCTTGCTGGGTAACAATAACAATTTAATATGTTGATTGCATAATTATAAAAAAATAATTTATAGCATTTTAAATTATTATTGGCTGACGTGAGCAAACTATTTATTTTTTTTAATCACGCCATCGTATTATACTCATTTTTCTCTATCTGCTCTTAAAATTAATGACATTATAACTGAATCACCCTGTATATTTTTTTCTTTTCTCTTTTATACATCTTGAATTCTATAATTTTAATATATTATCACATTATCACATTATATGTATTTATTATGTTTGTTTAGAACATTTTAAGTTTATATATATTTTTTTATTTATGGAATGAATGGATAGGGGCGTTTTGTTTCTAAAATTGGTTTATATTTATATCAAATCATATATTTCTTGGACTATACAAATAATATATACACCTTAAATTATATAAAAAAAAATATTTACATCTTAAAATTATTCTTGTATAAAATATTTATACATCATAAAGCTACTCAACATTCACACGTCTCACTTTCATTCGTCCACTCAAAGTATTTAAAGTCTTTCCACATTCATCCCTCTTTCGCACTTTGTTATTAATTTCGGATTGTATTGTCCCAATCTCCTCCTGCAATACTCTCACCTGGTCCCGCTTAACGGCGAGTGTTTCTCGCAGAACGCGGATTTCTTCCTCAGTTTGTTCCTCCCTCCGACTGAGTTTTTCCTAGTATCGGAGGAATGCTGAAAAGACATCCGCTTCGTCGACCTGCGAGACAAAATCGTTTCTTCTTCTTCCACTTGGGGTGTTACCGTCAGGGTTGCCGACATTTCCTGGGGAACTTCCAGAAGTGGCGCTAGGACAGTGGCGGCTCGTCAGGTGACGCAAGTGACTCACCGCTTCACCTAAAATTTCCGTTTAGTTGTGCTATTTAAAATTATTTTTAATTTTATATAAATGTTATAATTTAGGTATTGTGTTTGCTTGTTTAATACGCAGAAATAAACAGAACAGTTGCGCGGTAAACGCCTCCTAAAAAAACATTGTCTTCGTTGAGCGCGAACATCACCTTGTATACTATACAACGTATAGTATACGCAGGTGACACAGATTGAAATCAGTCTGTATTCTGCTTCTCTTCGTAGCGTTGTTTACGGCGGTTGTCATGGCAACGAGGCAGTCAACTCGGGATTAAACTACGGCGTGGGGGAACGAGTGACGCAGAAATTGAAGCAGCATCGCCCATCGCCTGGCTTTAACAGTTTATACGATACGCGTCGCCCAGTGCACGATTATAACAGTCCTTAGTTACTATTTGTTTTGTATATTAATTATAGAAACGTTTCTTATGTATGATCCAGTATGTATTTTATTGGAAACGCCATTTTCCAGATGGAAAATTGAGGACAAAAGGATTTCTTAAATTGCGACAGACCTGTGCCTTATTCTTTCGATATGGAAAAAAATGGGAAATCAAAAGACAACGTGTACGTTTGAAAGTTTCGGAATGAATGATATTCGGAGTATAAGTGGTTGTGTGGAAGTGTTTATTTAAAAAAACTTTTCTGTATGCCGTGTTTAATTGTGGGTGTAAAGTCGGGCGTGTTGAATAAGAAGGGATTTAACAATTTTGGGAACGTCACGCGAGCTAATATTTCCATTTTTTATAAAATTTAAATAAAAATCCTTCTCACGAACGTCAGTTTTTGGGTAATATGGCAAATGCAACTAAAAATTTTCAGATTCATTTAAAGCCGTTGACCTTGAAAATTTGAAAATTTTTGCCAGCGGCGTTTTTTTTCTTTTTAGTCAATCAATGAATATGCTTCACCTATTCTCAATGTCACGAGCCGCCACTGCGCTAGGGAAACTTCTATGGATGCAACCACATCGTCAAACGTTGATATGGCTTCCTGGGGTGGTGACCGGAGAATTGGCAGCTGTGGTGATGGAGCTTAATCTTGTGGCACCGTTACTTCAACCGCTGGTTGTTGCAACAAGTGCCGTAATCGTGATGTGCTGCCCTTCGACGCTATTCCTTTTCTCTGATTCTCCCCGCAGTTCGAACACCCAACAGATTTTTTAGAAGTTGTCATCTTCTTAACCGGTGGAGAGTTTGGTAATAAAATGTCACTGATGGGGGACAAATCGGACAAGCGGTTGTTGGAAATACTGAAAGTGCTGACGTTCCTCCGGCGTCACCTTTGGCATAGGTTTGCCAACATTTGTACTCTTCCTTCTAGAACTGGTTGTGGCTATTTTTGGTATTGTACTTGATCGACTCATTTTTCTTTTTTTTAATTACACAAAATGTACACTATTGTAGACTCTCAGGGCACAACGAAAGCAATTCTTCACTTTGATCTCCTCTCTTATATAGAAAATACACTGTAATTCAAATTCACCACGTCACAATGTCATTATGTACACAACATTAAAACCACTATTTAATTTCAAGGTTAACTGCAATGTTTAAACGTAAATCATGTGAAGGTCGTCATATAATGTGATATTTTTTCGTCTTTTATAGACCAAACAAAATCATTATACATTTATATACTTAGAACTCGCTCAAGGTCACACCCTCATGAAATATTTATCCATACCATTTAGATAGACATATTTCTAATGAAGGTCATATAACAATGTCTTATTCACACCACACAACACAAATTTAATTTCAAGGTTAACTGCAATGTTTAAAACGTAAGTCAAATGAAGGTCATCTTCTCATGTAAAATTCGTCCTCTCTCACATTCCAAACAAATCTAATTTCAAGGTTAACTGCAATGCAAAGGTCAAATGAAAGTCGCTACCCTACGCCATGTTCTTCGGCTTTCAGCGTCAAGGTCATCTCAAGGACGAAAGTGGAGGGAGGAGACTCACTACCGGCTAAAATACTCTACTAATTTTTCTCAAAACATTATTTAAATTATCTCTAACCTTCACAGTTGTGAATGGCCATGTGGTGACAAGAAACAAAACAATAAAACCATAACCCAAAAATAGTATTCTGAAGCCCACTGAGCAAGAAATTTAAACAAATCAGAGCGCGGATATCAAAGAATTTAGAAAATGACAGAAACCAGTTAAACTTGGCGCTAAATTTTGAAACATATGTAACCTAAGCTGGATTCAGTAAGCTCACTACTAGATAAATTATTGATAATATTTAATAAATAAGTAATAATAATTTAAATAATAAATAAATAAGTAATAATCTAACTTAATCTCACGTTTATGTCTTGAGAAAGGAAATAAACATTTCCGAAAGCACACACACAAACAGACTGTTCTTATTGTACTAACCCTTAGGCACTGTTGACTGCAATCCCAAATACATCACTGGATTTTTAATGTGATTTTTTTAATTACACTTTATGACGACTTAGAAATTTAAATTAAATAATGTTATTTTAAAATTATGACCTGACATCTGTCAGGTCATAATTTTTGTTTACTTAAGTATATTACGATGTATGCCGACACTGTGATTTTAGTGGAAATAAAGTATTTTATTTTAAATTTAATTTTGAAGCTCCCGCCAATATAGTAGAGTGCCCAATTTAATTTATTTTCACTTCTGTGGGCGTCGCGGGGTTACAAGCTGAATTATATATAAAATTGAAGCTTATATCTTAATCGGAAACCGAAGGTAATAAAAAAATAACGCGGGCAAAAGGGCAGTAAAATCAAAAAACGAGTTATGACCACGGGCGGATAATACAGCACATTGGCTATAATTCTATGTAAAAATCAAGTTATATTTTGTACAGCATATATTTTTTATCAATTTTTGAAAGTTGCTCTTAACGTTGAGTCTTATGGCAGAATAATAATTTTTAAACTGGAATATCTCGCTTCGAACACGTCGAAAATCTTACTGAAATTCATCATTTTTTTAGTTCCCACGCCATTTCCGGAAAACGGAGGCCTTATTCGAAAAATTTTACTCTTACAAAAAGTTTCTTTCATCAATTTGAAAGACAACAGCGTTTATTCAAAATTTTTGTTTCAATAATAAACAATATATGAATAAAAATACAAAACAAATCATTTTCGACCGGCCGGCGGACGTCTGGCTGCTTCGATTCCCCACTTCGCCACAGTCGCATCTGTCTCACAAATCTTCATAGTTCCATCTCGTACTGTGTTACATTTTATTTTGATATTTCTTATCTTACCGGATTTTTAAGTGTGCCTTTTTGTAGCGGTTTTCTTATGTGTTTATATTTTCATAAATATAGTTTTGTGGGTGAGTGCGAGTTCAGTACCTAACCTGGTTAAAATCTTAATTTTTCACTTTTTAAAAAACTGAAACATATAGTGGTTGGTGTCTAGTGTTAACAAGGATAATCTAGGTGAGAAATTTTACTTTGGTTAACTATAGAGAATTCCACATTCCAATTATAGATCTTTTATCAGAATTTAGCACTGCACGAAATGAAAAGTTCTACAACTGATAGTACTAGTTCTGAGAACGAAATCGGCCTACATGTAAAATTCAAAACGCAAAAACACCAAAATAAAAAAATTCGAAGTATTATAATCGAATCAACGAATAAAACTTCCTTTACTTTTATGATTTCCACTAAGATTCGGAATGATATAAACAAAGAGGTAGATGACATACAAAAAGTGATTGCTGATGGTAAAACTGGAAATCTTGCCAATGTTGTTTGACATAAAATGTGTTATATTGCCTATACGAACAAACAAAATATTGAAAGTTTAGGGAAAAGAGTGGAAAGACTGAAAGAGTACAGAGTAGCTGGTATTGAACCTCCACCACTTCCTGATAGATCACACTTTAATAGCAATGGAGGCAAAATATCATGTGAACTGCCTAATGACAGAATAGAATAAAAAAAATTGGGAAAACAATTTGGTAAACCACAAACATTTAAATGGAATTGGTACGGATGATTTTTCAGAAAATATGTTCAAGGATATTCAGATCTTTATTATAAAACTATATTAAAAAAATTCTAATATTACGTCAGTAGACATTTTAATGGGTTTGTTAGCATCGTCTTCAACAATTGCAAATCTGCCTCCGACTGAAGATGCTTTGCTATTTCATTGTTTGAGGGCTTATTATCAGTCAATTGTTTATAACTCTATCCAAAATTGCCTTGTATTGCCGACTGTGGATGCAAAAATTGATAAAGACGGTGATGTTAATCCAATTCTAACCACCTTGCCATATTTTCCTTTACATTTGAACGTTCTTCATGTGGATGCAAAAAAGGTGAGATAATAAGTAGCAACCATTTTTCTAGTAATAAAATTTAAATTTTCTTAGATTGTGGAAGCAAAGTTTGCACTTGCAAGAAAAGTAATATGGGTTATATTTGGTCCTGTAAAAGCATGGGTAAAACTTGCAAAAAGTTCGATGAGAAACGTGACTTGGATAAATAGTGTTTTTATCTGTTAATCAATGGTAAAGTCCTCTTTCAATTTAATATTTTGTTAATGTACTTGTGCCGCTTTATGTGCTTAAAAAAAATGCAACTTTTATTTTTCTCGAAAATAGTACATGTTACCCCTTCGACAATTATGCCTTTTTTGTATGCTTTAGATTTTACAAAACCGTTTAGAAATGTAATAAATTTTGATGTTCAACATATTTTTTTGTTTAGATTGTACCCCTCCAATTCAAACAACTTCAACACACTGTATCTCGAAAACAGGGCGTCTAAGAAAAAAACTTTACATGAACTATCCTTATTATTTTTCCATTAGGAACTTGCACACAAGTTTTTTTGAAACACGAACGGGACACCCTGTATATATTAACTTTTAAATCTAATTATTAAAAAAATCATATTTTAAATCTGTAGAAGTGAGACATATTTTTTTTTTACTAATTTTGCATGTGTTTTTCAAATTTATATTTAGTAGGGTTATCACTACTGACTCGTACGTATCGAAGTAATACGAAATGGAGCATGGAGATTTGTGAGACAGATGCGACTGTGGCGGAGTGGGGACGCGAAGCAGCCAGCCGTCTGCCGGCCCATCGAAAAATGAGTTATTTTGTATTTTTATCCATATCTTGTTTATTATTGAAACAAAAATTCTGAATTATGTCTGCTGTTGTCTTTCAAATTGGTGACAAAAACTTTTTGCAACAGTAAAATTTTTCGATTAAGGCCTCTGTTTTCCGGTAAATAGCGTGGGAACTAAAAAAATGTTGAATTTCAGTAAGATTTTCGACGCGTTCGAATCGAGATATTTAAGTTTAAAAATTTATTCTGCCATAAGACTACGTTAAGAGCAACATTCAAAAATTGATAAAACATATATGCTGTACAAAATATAAGTTGATTTTTATATAGAATTATAGCAAATGTGCTGTATTATCCGCCCGTGGTGATAACTCGTTTTTTGAGTTTATTGCCCTTCTGCCCGCGTTATTTTTTTATTACCTTCGTATTCTGATTCAGTAAGACATAAGCTTCAATTTTATACATAATTCAGCTTGTAACCCCGCGACGCCCACAGAATTGATGCTGTAAATAGTACATTAACTTCTCTTACTCTCTTATAGATACCAAATTACTGACAGAAATTATACAGGAATTAAGCAATTAATTACAAGCATGTCCTGCATACAGGGTCGAAAAGTCCCCATGGTTCATCGGCCGTTACGTGAGAGCGATAAAGTAAGTCATAGAAATCCGTGCGATAGAGAAAGATGGCTAGAATGAAGGCGTCTAATAGTCACCGCCCATTTCGCCCTTCCACAAATAAGAAGTGGATCTTATTTGTGGAAGGGTGAAATGGGCGGTGACTATTAGACGCCTTCATTATAGCCATCTTTCTCTATCGCACGGATTTCTATGACTTTCTTTATCACTCTCACGTAACGGCTGATGAACCATGGGGACTTTCTGACCCTGTACATATATTTTTTAATGATCTTTAATCTTGAATTTTCTGTAAAAGAATCTAGTCAAACGCTAGCACGCATGTGCCGGCCAATCCTTTCTATGCAACAGTTTAGGTCAGTCATATTATTTAATTTTAAATTTATTATCAATAAGGCCCAGTCTTGGTAAAATACAGTAGAGTATGGTGTGGAAATACAACAATATTATAAATATCGACTCTCGTCCTTTGTTAAAATTCTATGTTATAAATTTAATGTGAGTTTCGTTAATAATTGTTTGCAGCATAGCTTATAAATAATCAAATCCCTCTTTTATTTCAGCCAAACCGCTACCAACGTTAACATGGTTTCGCAATGATTTGATGGTAAGCAATGTCAGTGTAGTATTGCCCAGTTCTGGAACAATGACACACGTACGTAGTGAATTCCGGATATCAGGCCTAGGTCGTCGCGATTTACATTCGGAGCTCACATGCCAGGCCTACAATAATCCTCGAACACCTCCCCTCGCTGCTACCCTACATGTTGATATGAATTGTAAGTAAATACAGTAATATATTCTTTGGAACGTCCAAATATTCAATGTAAACGTTTTATTTTAAATGTTAAAACATTAATGAGAACGTGGAAAGACCTTTATTACTTTTTACTGTTTATATTTATGACCATAGAAACGGTTTAAAAAGAACACCAAACAGAATTACTAACAAATAAATCACATAAAGATTATGTGACTTACTATCACTACTTTAAAAAACATTTTTTTCAAATATTGAATTTTTAAATTAAATTTTTTTACCAGTGTGACGAATCAGTGCTGCATACAAACTAAACAAGAATGAAGATACTAGAACTAGGAGCATTTTTACTGTATGCCTATTAAGTTTTATTAGAATGTTTATCTTTATTTCAGATAAGTTATAAGGTGCCTTCACATTACGCCTCCATTCCTAAAATGAAAGAGTTTTCATAAAGTGAAGCATGTCCGGGGGCTCGCCGGAGGTGGATTTGTCGTTGATTCTGGTCACAAAGTTGCCCACTCCATCCATTTTCTTCTTTTTCATTGGCATGATTGAAATTCATGAATAATTGGACTTTTGTAGTATTTTGAATACTTCAATGTAATGTGTTTCGTCGATGTGTAACACAATGTTTTTAAAATTTTTGTAAAGGTGTTTGCTGATAGCTTTCATAAGGGAAATGAAGTTTAAGAGGTTGGAAAATAAAATCACATTTTTATTAGAACGATAGTAGTTGGGGTGTAATTCAATACAAAGCGGCGATATGTATTGGTAGATTTTTACTCTATTATAAATGTACTAAGCTAATTCAAATATTTCTATTCTTAAGGTTTGATAAAAGTTTTCATCTATTACCTACCAATTAGCTTTTATCTATATAAACAAAAATTGTTGGTAAACCTATTTGTTGGTAAAGCCATCACTTGAGAATGGCTGGACTGATTTGGCTAATTTTGTTTTAAATGTTCGTAATAGTCCGAATAAAGTTTTTAGGGAAAGAAAAATTGGAAAAGTTGCCCGGAAAATAGGAAAATCATACAATGTTATATGTGGGATATAATTGTTTTTATTTCTTCCAAATTTTATAAATATAGATTACGAAAACGAACGAAAACTTAAAACCTATTATTCTTGACCATTGTGTGAGATCGTTTACTGACTCTTGAAGTAGTTTCTTCCTGAACAGTAAAGAATGAGATCGCCTGTGTATAGGAGGTTGAAAAAAAGTACGTACATACGTCGATGGAATAATATAGTTATCAAAACAGATCCTTGTGGGACCATTTTCAAGGCTAAATGTAAAAGAGTTGTTTCTATTTTCTGCTTTACATGTTCTGTTTGACAAGAAATTATTTAGAAATGATAGCGTGTTCACGAATAGATTATTTGTTTTAGTTTATTACAAAATCCAGGCCTTCAGACGGTGTTAAATGCTCTTTCAATATCTAAGGTGACAGTAAATACTTTTTGTTTGTTAGCAAATGCATCAGCAATGTCATTTTGAAGAAGTACTAAATTATCTGTAATGCTTCGATGATGCCATGTTGCAGATCTTTTCTGACAAAAAATATTATTCTTTTCAATGTACCAGAACAATCTTTTTTTAATAATTTTTTCTACCAGTATACACATTGTACAGTCGATATGGTTTTAGAAGAGCTGAAGTAGAGTAGCTTAAAAGGTGGAATTATTGTCTGTCGTTATAATGCTGAGAAGTCCTGCTTTATCCATATTTTGTTTAAAAATTCAAGAAATTTAGTCACGCTATCTCTAGGAAAATTTTTAAGAAAAATAAAGTGAATATTGCCTGGACATGCAGAAGAGTTCCAGCACAAAGAGAGAACGAATTAGATAATGCTAATTGCTTTGAAGGAAATTAATTTAAGATGAAAATAATCGGCTAGTATACTAGCGATATCTACTATTTGTACCTATTTCCTCGTTGTACACTATAGCGATTATATTAAAAATAGTGGTGTAACCCTTCATTTGGCGTATTTTCTTCCAAACTCGTCTTGTTGGTGTCTCAGATGTTATGGAGCAGTAGTAGAGGGGGACAGCGGAAGCTCGGCCACCCCCCACCACTCCCACCACACGTAAAATCATGACGTAATATTTGGAGGTGAAATGTTTCAAGGTCGTTTGGCAACTTTGAACGAATTTCAAGGAGGGGTACAGCGGAAGCTCGGCCACTTGTCGCCACTCGATTGTGGTTTCAATGTTAAATATCAAATGAAGTATATGTGACGGGAAACTGGGTGACTTTGAACGAATTTCAAGGTCATCTGGTGACCGTGCTTTCATGTGGCACAGCGGAAGTTTGCCCCCTCCCACCACTCAAAAATGACTTTGAGAACTTCTCCGGTGTCTTCAGGAGTCCATGGGCCTCCTCCAGCATCTTCAAGATGTCTAGGGCTGCGCAAAAATATATTTATGGAATATTACGCATTAAGGAATCCTGCAATGCTATGGTTGATACAAATCTAAAAAGTTTTCTCAGAAAAAAAGGCATCATTTATAAGATAAAAAAGATATGTTATAGTTAAATGAGACTAGTGACCATGAGAGTAATGGAGAAGAAACTAAAGAATAAAAAACGAACATAATCTTTAAATTTAAAATTTAAGAATAGTAAAAGTAATAGAAACCATAGTTTGTGTAGTGTTATTATTACTATAGTAGAGTACAAAAATAAAGATAAGTAGTGTACAACAGCTTGATCCCCTTATCCACCTCACCCAAGCCATCCAGACTACCCTCTGCGTTGGGAGGAAACAAAAGCCAACAAAACTATATGCAAATTGTTTTATTTCTATCTAAACGACTTACAAAATTAGCAACTGCTCAATTGCAAAAAATATACATACTTCTATTTACATTTTTTTTCATTAATAGGTCGAAATTTGGTCAAAAGTGTCTTAAAGATTTGGTTCTTTTTATGAAGATTAAGTGAGATCAAGTAGTGTTTTGGGAACATTCTATCCACAATATTTTATAACATCATTGTACTGCAAGGCCTAAAATTATAACAAAGTGGCAAAAGTTTAAATTAAAAAGTGTTGTAAGAAAGAGGAGACTAGTGAAAGAAGCCGCTGACAAAAAAGGTTTCTATTTAAAGGAATGTGTGATAAAGAGAACTTCGACAAACTTGTCCTATTTATACAGGACAGTAATGATGAACAAACTAGGGAATTAAAAATTCACATAGAAAAGGAAGTAACCGAAATTAGAAGAGAAGTTAACGAAGAAAGAGAACGCAGGATCCAATTAGAAGTAGAACACAAACAGCTAAAAGACAAATATTCGGTTCTAGAGAAGTCGTTGCGTAAAAACAACATTATACTATTCGGCGTAGAAACTACTAGACAGAAACCTGTGCTTGACACTGTATTAGAAACATTAAACACGCATCTAAATCTTAATTTAAATAAACGAAATATTAATAATGTCTAATAGGGAAGCATGATAGAAACAAACTGATTGTAGTAAAGTTTGTGTCATTTTTAACTAAATTTGAAGTATTAAAGTCTTTCAATAGGCAAAAAGAAACCCCTATTAGCATTACCGAAGAATTAAGTCTAGAGGAAACAAATATTAATACAGCTTTAAGACCATATCTCTTGGAAGCAAGATCAAAAGGTTGAAAGTCATACATAAAAAATAATAAATTGAGAATAAATAACAGGGAGTATACTGCTGAACAACTATTGAATAATGGAAGTGAGTTCGACGTGTTGATACAAGAAAGTGATGAAAATATGAAAACTCAGGAGAAGATAGAAATAGGTGCCTATCATATGAGCGAAGCGAGGCACACTCCTTGACCAGGACGAAAAGGAGGACTAACGTGGAAAAATTAAAAACGAAGTGAATTACAAGCAGAGAAGAAAAGGTGGAGTGTAACTTCAAACCCTTGGTTATTACCTAAGAGAAAGGCAAGTTACTTATTGACAATCATAGTAGTGGAAATCCACTTATACCAATTTCTCCACTTATATCTTTTTCTACTTTACGTAGATTATTTTATTTTAAGATTTTATTCGGTGCATATAATATTTTACTGTATCTATTTTGTCATTTTTATATATATCGCTATATTATTATTGCTATTATTGTTATTTTAATGTTTTAATTGTATTTTAGCATATTTCTATAAATATCTGCTGAACTAACTAATATGGACCCTTATATTAGAGACTTTAAGCTAAGAACCATTAAAACTCAGACTGCTGAAACTGTTGATGATTCCAAAAAAAATTTAGATTTTGCCTCCTTAAAATTTTTTTTTATATATCATTGTAATATTAGAAGTATATAAAAAAATATCGTATGTAAGAACTACAAGTGGTTCTTGGTGACTTTAATAGACAGTTTGATGTGATAGTACCTACTGAAACTTGGAAGTTGGATGATCGTTGTTTTTTTTTTCGCACCTGTCAAAGTAAAGTAGGCCAAACCCTATATTGACGTATTTCCCTTCAAAAGGGCTATCCATTTATGCTTAAAAAATTAGGTAGTGCTATTTAAAAAAAATGTCGATGACGTCATAGGTTTATGAAACATAGCACAAAACGGCAACGTGACAAAATGGCAATTCCTATTTACTAATTGACATGTTTTAGCGTTTTTGTGAAAACGCAACACAAAACAAAATACGAATTTTTTGCGTTACTTCTGGGACGTACTGTATACAGGATGGTCCGAATTTTATGCAGGAAACTTCGAGGTCAGATAGATCTCTTTAAAATAATAGGAGTTTGCTTTATAAACATAGGTCTGGAACGGCTTCGTTTTAGAGATACAGGGTGTTGAAGTTGTTAAAAAAATATATTTTTTGTTTATATCTAAGGAATCTATTAATCGATCTCAATAAAATTTGGTACCAATAATGTACGATAGTAGGCCTTGCATTCCCTAAAATATGAGTTCTAAAGGTTTAACCAGTGGTGTACAACTGGACAGGGGGTCACCCCTTTTTATAAAAAAAACCTACGACACTGTATTTTTTTACAAGTTATTGTAACGGATTTATATTCTAATGCACTAAATACGTAAAAATGGTGACTTGAATTTTTTCCCTAAAGTTCACCGTTCTCAAGTTATTCATACCAATACAATCCCCTTGTGGCAGACACAAATCATATTACAAAAATATTTATGTTTATGCTTAAAAGTAAGTGCAATTTATAAGCACATCAACGAAATTCTTTCCACATCACTTGTGAGGTAGTGTTTGTTCCTGTTGTGTTTTTCCCTGGAGGCATTATCTTTACAAATAAGAACAATTTAAATCAAAATAATAATAATAATACATTTACCAAGCAACAACAACTAAAAAAGAAACAAAATTAACGTTACGTATTTACAGCAATTGTTTAAAATGCGAACCACCCACATCAGTACATTTCTGACATCTTCTATTAATGGAACTAATTGAAGCTAATATCATGTGGTGGTTTTCTTTTAATTCATTACACTCGTCTTCTATTCGCTGCAGTAGTTGTGGTCTAGTATCTATTGGAGTAGAGTAAACTTTTCAGGTAGGTCACCCCAAATATAGAAGTCCAGGGAGTTTAGAGCTGGCGATCTGGCTGGCCGAGGCACTAGACCGTCTGCACCATTATGGTTCACATTGGCATTTGGTCTTCTACCTATCCATCATCTCATATAATTTTATTTTCATTAAGTCAATCTTGTATTATTCTCCTGAAATGCGCAGGAGTACCATCCTTATGTATCCAGCTATTTTGTCGTATATTTAATGGAACATCATCTAATAATGCAAATAGATGGCTTTCTAGAAAGTTTAGAAATGGCTCCGAATTTCATGAGGATTTTCTTGTGACCAAATATC